AAAATCAATGATCATCGATTATAGATGTTCACCGATTCTAAACAAAAAATCGGTTATATTCGATTTTAATAATCATCAATTATATCTGATTGCAATCAATTATAATCGATTATTAACAATCGATGATAATCGATTATTGAATAATAATCGATTATAATCGGATATAAAAATTTCCTGATGATGAACTGGAATTAACGCAACCAAAAGATGAGCTTGCTGTTTGTTGATTTTTGGGTATCCTGCTGTCTACGAGCTTGCAGAGTCTCCTCATACTCACTAACTGCTTTTACGAATGGTCTCACCAAGATATCAAAATTTTTCACAAAGTTCTCATTATCCATTTCTCTTTTGTATAACTCTAATGCTTTCTCAAACTTCTTCTTGTATTGATTATATTTTTCTTGTCTTTCTTCCATCACGTTTTGTTGTGTCATCATTGCTATATCTCCCGTGCTGGAATCTTCTGCAACTGAATTTGCTGTATCTTGCAGATTATCTGAGCTGGAATCTTCTGTAACTGGATTCTTCTCTATAATAATTACATTGTGTATTTTCCAAGGATTATTTTTTTGAGAGATTACTGAAACTTTATTGATACTGAAGGCAAGCAATGGATAATTGTGTCATCGTGCTGTTTCATTAAAAAGAGGCAAAAAATATCTACCCTTTTTTATAACCAAATGCTTGCAAAGAAGATAATGATTGTGTAGGTATACTGGACAAGAGCACACCCAATTATTCACATTCACATGATATTTTTCATCCATATTGGAGATGATGTCTGTAAATGCCATTTTGTTCTAGTCCTTCTTAAAGGCTTGTCACCATGTTGGAAAACATCGATATGTATTGTACTGGATTAACTTGAGTTCAAAATCTGGTATCAGCTGCTCAACAAGAATATTGATGAGATGATCAAGATGGGATCTGTTGTAATTATATTTATAATTATACTTGAGCACTCGTCAGTGACTCTCAGTGATCATGGTGGTTCGAGCCAAGGGTATTGCTAATGGATAGAATGAACGGGCAAATAACTTCCAGTCTTTTCTGTTATACCAATTCATTCAGAGATATCCCCATAATCTAGAAATACTACGACTATGACAAATTGATATGTTTCTTCTACACAATGATAATAGATTTGTACTAAATTCTAGAAAGTATTCTTTATTGGAATTAATAGATGCATGTTTGTATGATACTTAATCTTATTTATGACTTCTTTGATCTTGTTGTCTGAGTATAAATTCCCAATTCTGCCACTTGGAATCCATGACGGATCGATGAAACTGAACTGCTGGTGAGTCTCTAATGCCTTTTTCTTTGAATAATTGCTTATGTTTGGCTTCTTATCTTTAAAGCATCTACTAATAGCATTTTCTAAGTGCCAGTAGCATAATTGTATATTTGTTATCCACGACCAGGCTTCACTAACAGCCGATATTTCTCCTGCGTCTTTGTCTAATAACACAAATGCTGGTAGCAATCCTTCCTGCCGAAGAATTCACAAAGAACTTGTACACGGGTACTTATTTCATTTTTTGCATCATAACATGTTGCTTCCAAACTATCAGTCTTTAAGAAGTATAGGTATACTATCAGCATACCATACTCACTGCAATTTGCATTCACGACAAAGAGCTCAAAATGTTCTTGATTCATTTTGAATATAGAATCCACGATAACTTCAGTTATATTTTCCACTCTGATCTGATTAATTAATGGAGTCGAAAAATCTAAGACACGCACAAAATCATTCTCAAGATAACAAAGAACTTTAAAATTCATAGCAGTAAGTCTGGGTTGTTCAAGATATGTCTTAGATAATAAAAGCTGATTGGTTGAATTCATAATATTTGTTTGCTATAAACAGAGATTCAATAATACATTGTTATAATTGAAAATTCCTATAATTTCCATAATTTCCATAATTTTCATAATTTTTATAATTTTTATAATCTTTATAAACTCTAAAAACATCATAAACTCCATATTCTTTATAATTTTTATATATAAATCAATTAGACAAATTTTTATTATCTTAATTTTTATAATTTTCATATAAATTATCATAAATGTAATATCTATTAGTGGAAAATATTATTATAAATAAAGCAATAATGAAGCTTTGAAAAAGGCATCAATTGATTAATACAAAAATCTAGCTAGTTAATAAACTGTTCCTTGTTTATTGTTAATAAAATTTGTATACTTAATTGGTTAAATAATAACTTATTAAAATACTTGCATTTATTGCACACTATTGGACAACCACCAAAGTTGCTATAGAATATCAGTACTGTATTACTATAGGACTGTCCCACACTAAGTAGACATAACATCTATTAGTAATAGTGAGAGCCTATCTATAAGATAGAAAAAAACGCATTGCGTGGTGAACCTGAAGTATACAACTACGACAAGATCGAGTAACCGTAAAATTACTATCATCAGACATTGGTTGAACACCTACATTACGATTATATCTACCAGGAGCCTGATCGTGATAACAGTTTCATTATCTAATGTAGCGGTCTGTTCAATCCATTTACCAAACAACTTCAAAGCAAAGGTAGTATCAGTATCGTGTTGCTCTTGCTCTAAGCATAAAACTGACCATTTTCCTTTTCCTGGCTGAATATGTAGATGGTCTCCATGTATTACAAAGCAGTTTGTGCAAATAAAATGAGGGTGATCATCAGTAAATGACTTAATTGACAATTTATTATATGAAGTTATTGCTGGACAGTTGAACAATTCATGACACAGAGCTTGAATTACGTGTTCATATATTTTTCATACATGTATTGAACATGTTTTACCTCTTGTAAAAAAGCATCGAAGTTTCTTGCAAAATAAACAGCGGCGTGATATAATAATGCTTTCTTCAGTTGTTTGTACTATCTTTATGCGTCTTCCTGACTCAGATTTGTGTACAGTATTTTGGTCATAGTTGAGATAACGCAAACAAATATCCAACTTTGAAATCTCATTTCCAACTTTTTGCACAGCTTTAGAGTCAATCTCCCACGTATCAGAAAGTTGTCCCACATCGTGAACTCCTGCATTGTTGCACCTTTGGATTATGTGTTGATTATTGTCAATAATAACACAATATATTAGTTTAATAGCATAATCTGCAAGAGAAGGAATGATCCTTTCAAATTCCTCCTCAAATATTTCCATCTCATTATCACTTTCGATGAATTCATCATCTATTTTCTCAGTATATCTGGTGATTATTTCTCATGTTCCCTTAAATAAATACCAGTCAAATGTGAGAACTCCTTTATTATATGCCATCGTTTGTTCAACATCAATGCTGAATTCTTGGTTAAAGTCATTGTAAATCTCTTCTTCATGACCAAACGAAGCTTCAGGTAAGAATTCCATAATTTTTTGATTTATTTTTTATTTATTTAATTAAAATTTGAATAAAACTAATGTTATAGCACTTTGGCTTACAGTATATACTTATAGATGTGTATTGTAACAATAGCATTTGGTTAACAATTATTATTGCAATTTCTTTTTTGAATTTCAATGCACATTTATACATATACTATTATTATTAGGTGAGAATAATGTATATAATTCTATCAAGAAAAGATTCTTTATTTTATGTTTAATACTTTAACAAATGCACATTAAAATTTATTATTATCAATCATCATTACTATTCTCATCATCATTCTTTACAATTATATTATTATTTTTTACAGATGCTTTGTAACTATATACATGTATAACCTAATCGATAGCTAGATTATTATCCTTCTTATCCGTCATCTTCAAATAAATAATCAGTTTTCACTCTTATCAAACCCATTAATAATTGGTTTTTTGTTAATACTACATTACTTACCAATAAACCTAATGAAAAGTGAGGGGGCGAGTATAGACAAGAGCGAGAATAGGGGTCAAGCAAAAGTGAAAGACCAAGTGGATGAGTGACATGCGAGAGTGACGCCTGACTCCTGATATCTGCATCTTCAAACGACTTGAACTTTTAGAATTACAAGAATTCAAACGAGATAATCCATTGACTCGACAATATTTTTCAATGATGGACAAGCTCAAAATCGAGAGCACTTGTTAGAATATTATTGAATATATACATTTTGATATCCTATTACTAATAGCCTCTTACAGTTGTAACCCAACCAACCCAACCAACCCAACCAACCCACCCAACCCACCCAACCCGAAACCTCATAATCACTCCCGATAACTTGCAACTCGCCTTTATATATAGTCCATAACCACTTCTGGTGATTTGTAATTACATCAGTAGTTCATAACTACACTAACTGCTCCAAAAACCTTTCCAAATTGGTGAAATGGGAAGCTCTATAGTGTTGCCATTATTATACACTATAACGTGACGAACAACCTTTGCAGACGAGATTATTCTCAGCTTTATTTTTTATCCCCTTTCAAACTTGCACATAAGAAAGCACTCGTCTTACTGAACTGTAGCATAGCATCGCATGAGTACAGTTTCTGTTTAGGAACCTTTAAAAAAACGAATAAAGAAGGCTGCTACTGTAATTTACATATAAATAATGAGATATCGATCTCTCAAATTATATAGAAGAAAATTTACTCCACAGATCTGCGTGACAAATCGTGTGACTGATACGTAATAAAGTAACGTGAACTACTGCATCATATATTTATGACTGATCGCATTATCATTATTTTAACACGATAACGCGAACATGTCTACACAGTCAACATCCACTCTTAAGGCTTTTTACAATGACACCGCGATCGAAAACTGGACATGTGTAAATATGGAAGAATATTATCGTTCGAAATCAGGACAAAATAGGAGAAAAGTTCTAGATTGCATAAAAAAAGATCTTGAAGAAGTGGCAAATTTAGGCGATTTTGATATGACGCGCAAGAGAAAAGCTCAAGATATCCTCGACGACTGGAAGGTATGTTATTAGGTTTGAATGAAATAAGCAGTATTGAGCTGAACTTAGTCCGACAGTGATGAACTGCTAGTTCGACGCTTGGCGCAAGCTGGGTCTGCTAGCCTCCAGTGACGAACTGCTAGTTCGACGCCTAGTGCAAGCTGGGACTGCTAGTCTGAAGGATAGTTTAATTATATATTGCTATTGGATATGATTGTTATGGAAATGATTATGATCGGAAATGATTCTAGATATTAATTATATATTGAGTTTTCCAAGAATTGGACTGCACAAAAGAACCCAAAACGTTCTGGAGCAAAGATTGAGAATCTTCAGGTAGGCTTCTAGTATAAAATTTTACCAAGACAAAAAAATACCAATATTTCTTCATTAGGTAAAGAAGATAAAGCAGTTCAATCACGCGACCCAATTCAACAATAGCCATAATATAATGTTTGGAGGACATCAAGAAATAATAAATACCGAAGGAACTTCAACTCAGGAAGGAGAACCTTCTTCGGCTGGGATGAGACTTAGGGAAAAAAAGAAAGTCTGTTATATCGAAAGCTCAACAGTGACGGATTCCTCTGGTTCGGAATACCAAGATAAACCTAAGAAGGTAACTTATACCGGTATATTTTAACAGTATGTTATTAGATCGCGAAAACATCTTTTTTTATCCTTGGACTATGTAGATCAAAACGAATAAAGAAACGAAAATAAGAAGTTCTAGCTCTCCAGCCGGAAGTTTAAGTAGTTCCCAGTTAAGTATTCCACGACAAACACCGGATTTGGTAACAGACAGTGATGACATAGTCGAGCAGGTGCAGATGTCAGAGGAGGATTTTAATAAGTTCACAAAGGCATTCCAAAAACTTGAAAATACAAAAAAATGGGTATTAACATCTGGGAAGGTTGTTGAAGATGAGTTATACAAGTTTGGCATGAGATGCAATTATGAACAGTAAGTACTGGCTGTTTTAAAATCAGATTATTATTGATCCTAAGTCATTAACATGTCAAAAGTCTCTGTCATTCTTTTATAATTGATCCGGAAGACAGAAGCTTTGTTGAAGAAAATATTTTCTCCCCTTCTGAACTCAAAGAAATTTATACATACAATCAAAAATCATTTCCGAATTTGCTCCAAGATTTGTTAGAATATCTTGGTAGTTACCAACTGGCACGTATTTTTCATATCATTATGCTTCGATCATTATTCACAAATGATGTTTTGACAAATACTTCATTTGAATAGTCCACAATTTCTGACCTCAGAGCACGGGTTTTTAGGTCAGAACCATGGCAATCAGCTTACAACCGACAAAGGGATTTTGACAGGGATTGGATAAGGAACACCGTTGACAATTTGTAGGTGCAAGGTTCTCTTATCTAATCTAAAAGAACACATTAAATGTTAATTATGCCACCTATTTCATATAGTATTCGTGAATATGAAGCAGACAGCCTAAAAAAAGGAGATCATTTAGAAGGATGGTTACTGTCACATGTATGGTTGTTCATAGACAAGGCGTTTGAGAACATAGAAGGTGTCGAAGTAATTAGGTAAGACAGGTGATTATATTCCTTCACAGAATTAATCATTAACACTCTGGATCATTTTGTGAACAGGGGAGAATCTTGTAGCATCGCATCATCGTCTCGAAAAAATAGAGATCGAAATGTTCCATCTGTGAGCTCGATGCCAAGGAAGATCATGGGCAGGAAGGGAGATTTGATAATTCGTTGCATGTATAGGGAATATGGATGCGGAGAAGCGGGCAAATTATACACAGGCTATAATGGTACAAAAATTCTACGAGAGAGGATTGAAAACGCCAAAGATGATGAACGATCAATTCGATGACTTATGCATTCACATGGGATCGAAAGAAAAAAAAGTCAGAAAGCTTGAGACTATCGGATTCATTCATGCAGGTATGATACATACATATTTTTTATTTACCAGATTCTCAACTAATTTTTCCGAATTCCCTAGGACTTTCTGTACTATTGCTCAGATTAGATTCTCCGGCAGGATATGTTAGTAGAATCTCTCGTTCTAAAATGCTGACCATCCCATCAAATATCAGTGAGTTTTGCAAAGGAGTTCTTCCAGCCATTATACTTGCGTGGAAGGCAAAGGTTTGTGTCTTATAGGAAATATAATTAATTGATTGTTGGAATATGTTGAATATGCTTATTAATGTCTAAAAATTTCTTACGAATAGAAAATCGTTAGCAATGTCATTGAGATGATGAATGAAAATGACGAGGAAAATCCACTCCAGGCCCTCCAACAATCATGCGAGAACACATCAATTCTTTCTCCTCCACGGCATGTAATTTGTCGCACAACCAGTTTTGATACTCCAAGTAGTAAGGATAAAAAAGGTACTTCAATACTCCAAACAAGGCAAAAAGAAGCTAAAATCTAGGATATTGTAAGATTATATAGTTTCTAGTTGAATGTATTAGTTTAGTATGTAAAGTTTCTCCGTCATTTTTAACCATGTGAATGAATTTATATTAGTATGTATGGATAAACATTTAATAAAACTTTTTCGCATCACCTATTTCAAGGTTAAACATAGAATGATGTTGCTAAAATTTTGAAAGTTATCAGTGAGAAAGTCTACTGTGGCAAATTTTTCTCATATTCACAGTTACCAATACCCTTAATCATAGACTTCTGGAGACAATTAACCAGATTTTCTTCATGTGCTTTTTATTTCTGGCTTTGAGCATTTATGCGAGGTGGTTAATAAAGTTTTGTCCAATAAGGCTTGATTTTTTTTAATTCGTGTCTGGCAAATGCCAATGTATCATATCTAGTAGGGATGTAATAAACGTATTTTAGAATATGATCTATACACTCAAAAAAATAAATTGCACAAATGTAATTAAAGTTTTATGTTTATTCAATGAGATCCAATTCTCGAAGATGCTCTGGAATAACAATATATGGATCTTTGTAATACCAAACATATCTTAAAACCATCCAATTTTCTTCACATAATTCTTTCTTAAGTTGATCTCGTGCTTGCTGTCTGATAAAATTATTGGGATCTCCTTTGTGAAAGAATTTGATATATTTTTCGTGTTGTTCTCCTTGTACTTTGATTGCAAAATCATATTCTGGGTAAAATATATCAAGTTGTAGATCTTGAGGGGATTCAAACGTTTTTAAAGTCTAATCAACGATTGTCTGACGGAGATCCAAGATATTTTGTCACAATCTCACGACATAAATTCTCCCGTTTGAATTTTGAGCAAAATGAACACCATGAATTATGATTTTTTATACTATTAAAGGATATATACCAAGTATGCCCTTTATCACATTTCCAATAATATTGATTTTTAGATTTGGTATAATTTTTAGAAAGATATTTACCACCACGCAAATAAGCAGTTTTTTGTAATTCGCCAAGATTTAACTTAAATCCACATTTTGCACATTGTGGACATCATGTATTACGATTTTTTATATTACCAAGGGATGCATACCATATATGCGATTTATTGCACTGCCATAATAATATTAATATATTGATTGGAAAGACATTTTCCACCACGATCTTTAGCAATTATAATAGCCTCTTTCAAGGTAAGACGAATATTACCCGCACAATGTGGACATCATTTACCATGATCTTTTATACAATTAAGAGATGCTGACCAAGTGTGTCCTTTTTTGCATTTCCATTCTAAGGGACTTTTGGCATTGATATACTGAGTGAAAAGACATTTTCCATTATGTTTTTTAGCAGTTATTTGAGCATCACTTAAAGATAATTTTTTCATTATAATAGATTGTTACTTTTAATATCTAAGATATATTTTTAATATAAAATCACAGGCTGGATACTGATAGTTATTTCATTTGAGAATAGTAATGAATAAGATATTGAAAACATTCACCCCAATTTCAATCACGGTTGGATACAGACATCTTCTTAATAGAAGTGACGAGTATGATGTACTTATATTGCTATATTAATAAATAATGGAAAAAATAAGTATTTCAGCATTGTGAATCACGTTCTATTGCGGAGCAGGCTGTATTGTGGAACAATGACACTTACGTACCTAGGTGATGAATCGAGATTTGAAGCTACTCATTAGAAAGATCAAGAGCTTGGTCCCATCCTTTGTGAATATAGAGCAGATTCTCTTTTGCTCTAGTTAAATTGATAATAATAAAATCTCTACCTTGCAAATTTTTATCAAGTATATCGACAATATCACGCCATTTTTTTGTATATTATCAGATGATGTTAACTAATTCATCATATGTTCCACTGTCATTAAAGAGAACAATGTAATCGAGATTTTTTCTTATTAGTTTAGGATAGTCAAAGAAGCTTTGTGTCATGTATATTGAACTAATATTTTTGTGCTTTCCCTCAGTAAAATAACATGCTATTTTATCTTGTATTTTTTTAGGTTCTGTACATATATTTTCGAATACAGTTACTGTTCCTCTTTCAGGAAAGAAATCATCAACTTTTGGCATTTTATCAGGTTTTATTGCTTGGAATGTAACAACTTTACGATATGATTTGGAGCTATTTGCAATTATTTTATAACAATTTCAGAGATGTTTATACTTGGGCTCATTAATTTGATGACTGATCAAAATCAAATCATCATTCTTAATATATCTCGTTCCACCTTTTTTCCCACTAAACAATCGATACATTTTATTTTCAAGTAAAAAGTTGATAACTTCGTTAGTTTTTTCTGATCTTGTTCGTCCACTAACTAATAAATTGAAAGATCATTGAAATGTACTATTAAGACTGTTAAATCTCTCTATATTTTTGTATTCGTCAATATTCAAAACTATCCTTTCAACAGGGTCAAGCTTTTTTATTTTCATTTTAATCGAGATAAGTAATGCTAAATTATTATATCAAAAAATAATGATCTTATAAGTTTATTCTTTGTGTGATAAATAGCTCTTCTCTTGTAATTTGCTTTTTATATAAGAAAACAAATCCGCATCATAACTAATTTCAACAAGATCTATATCTCGCTCCTTGCATATATTCTGCTTTTTTTGATTACATGCTCTTTGTGAATCTAAGTCGTCTTGATTTTTGTGATATAAACTGTTGCGATAAAAATGTTGAACTCCATTATACTCCCATATCAATTTTAGTTCTTTATTATATTCATTGAGTCTCAATCCATCCAAGAATTTTGGTGTGCATGACAGAAATTTTTTACCCAGTAGATCCTCAAAAATATATCAACAACTTCTTTCATAGGTATGATGATATAGGGGACATCATTCAAATTTCGTAGCTATTAATGAATATAGATTTTCTCACTGATGTTTTCCGTTTTTACAAGACCAGAGATATACATCAAAATCATTTATTTGATCAGTTTTACCAAGACATTTTCTGTTACGCTTCTTTGCATACTCTTCAGCCTTAGTCATTTTATTAATAATATGAATGAAATTAACAAATCTGGAGTGAGTGTTTTTTTCCAATATACTTTGGGACAGATACTGAAGTGTATTGTTATTCCAGTTCTTTTAACAGTATTTATATAGCAGAAGATCTTTAACGGGTCTCTTCTTACAGTTATAAGAGGAGATAGTGGATCAAGTTAAGTTT